ACATCTGGTGAAAATTTCATGTCATTAGCACCTCTAGTAATATATTTACTGAGAAAAATAGTGACGTGTTCAATACTTATTTTACCCGCTGTATCTTAGTCCATGTAAAATGTATTGTTGGTGCTTGCATCTTTGGTATTGAGCAAGTTTGATGCATGTTTTTTTTTTCTCAGCTACTCCCTTCAGCAGGAGTCCCCATAGTGCGTAAACTCAAATTTGGCTAATATTTTACGCACGATGCCATTCATGACGCAACCTGGACTCCAACCTGCAACCTCAGGATTACAGGCCCGCAGTACTGACCACAGAGCTACTGCAGCACCTGTAATGAATATTGGCACAGAAGAAAGAATATAATATGGACAAACACAGAAAAGATAAATGTAAACATACCAGAATCAACCTGCCAGTTATAGTTTTTATCAGTCTGAGTTGTTCTGAACCGCCCCACTGTACATTGCAGGTCTCTTTATGGACTTATTATTTTTTAATCTACATTTACAGTGTGCAAAAACAGATGAAAGGAGTGGATTTAATCATCCCCTTAAATCAAAGAAAATCGATCCAAAGACAAGCTGTATAAAATGCTTCAATGCTCTAATCCTGGATATTTTTCTTTAAACGGTGGTTAAATATATTTTCAATAATAAATACAATAAGTGGGAAGAAGTTTTTACTACACAAATCACTGTTAAAAATAAAGTACGGATGACATCTGCGTGTGTACAGAACAATGAAGGCCACACTTCAGATGTCTGCGACTAAACATCCTTTTCACCAAGGATGCATTGTGTGCTTTCAGAGTGGTTTTGAAAGTTTGCGTAGAGGCCCTAAAAAACCTTGACAAAACAGTCAAAATACCCTTTGATGCCTTTGGTATTCCACAGATACAGTAAAAATAGTTCAAACATAAAAACWCTATATTATTTACACTCTGAAGCTTCCTATAAATATTTTTTATTGTTATGAATGATAAATTAGGGTTTCCCCCTTTTTACCTCTTAAACATGTTCAGTTTGATTCCATGGCTGTTTGTACCAGATTTTCAGATGAATGCAGTTCAGTTTGCAGAAAAACAGTAATTAAGTTGCATAATCATGTTTTTAAATGTGCAACGTGACTTAAAGTCTTATTCCCATCAGCTCTGAACAGGATTATAAACATGTTAACAATAATTATAAACATGTTAACAATAATTTAACAGCACTGGTGATGAGTTTTCAGCAGACTTTAAAAACTGGCATGCACTTGGAAACGCACACACTTACTCAACGATTTCTGCAGCGACTTTATTCAGGTAATCGACATCATAGGCTGTTTTCAGAGGCATCCATCTGACTTCTGCTTTGTCGTCCAGGTTGATCTCCAGCGTGGGAGGAGCGAGCAGAGCCTGGCACGAGGCTGCGAGCGCGAGCAGCAGCAGCAGCGAGCCCTCAGCCCGGGCCATCGAGTCTGCTGTCTGTCAGAGGAGCCGGCTGACTGAAGAAACACCACCACCAGCACCACTTCCTACCGTCARCGAACTGCGAGCTAAAAACTAAACCGACACTTCCGGTAAAATATTTTCAAAATAAAACGATACCGATAAGCTCTTTGGTTGAAGGTCGGCGTTTCGTATTGAAGCGGGCAGAAGGCTTATTRTGGAATGGAATTATGGAAGCCCATTYCCRCCACCCTGATGAAAAAATAAAACTTGTATCTCATAATTATGACTTAGCTATCTCATAATAATGATAGAATCTCATAATTATGAGATATATCTCATAACTATGATAGAATCTCATAATTATGAGA